AGAATATTTCTCCAAAACACACGGTAACCTTCTTCTTGGCAGTCAGCGTTGACAGTGTAAACAGGGTGGAAGCAGGACAGTCGGGTTCGAGGCCGCTTTAACTCTGCAAGATATTGCAGATGAGGCTAAAGGTTTATTGTTTAAGCCATCTAACTGCTAAAGCCGCACTTGTACACTGACTCAACATTTCACACAGTGCTAGCCTGGGTAAACATTTATTTATTATGATCAGGCCAGCAAGTTCATGGGAATTCTTCTGCAGTTCTCTGAAAAACAAAAAACAAAAAAACACCTGAACTTAACAGATTTGTAATTTTTAAAGAACTCGAGGATCATGGCAAAAGATTAACACGAGGATACATTTGAACAACAGTACATGTTTGTTTTTTTGTAGAAGCTTGCAGAAAACGTAGTACCTGTGTTTGACCTTTTTAATTTTTCACACTGCTACATGAAAACAGGTACGTGAAATTTTAAAACATGGATTTATTCATTTTTAGAAGCCTTTAAAAAAAACAATAACAATATCAGTAATAATCACATATTCTCTTTAACACTCTTTGTTAACAAAAAATGCTATTCTCAGTCACATGACGCCTAATGAGAGACGTGACTGCAGCCTGTGTGATGCAGGTTCAAGGGTTTGATTGCGTAGTCCTCACTGCTGGTGGTTCTGAAATGCTGCTGGACCAGTGGAAACCTGATGTTGCTCTATTTAAACAACAAAGATCCATAAACAGAATAATCAATATTATTTAATGATTCACAGGATAAGACAAAAATGGAAGGAAATAGAATGTATATAATTAGTGCAGTAGTCTTGCCACTAATATTATTTTTACTAATTTGGGAGCAGATATCACAATCCTGGCTCCTTCACACAATAAAGGGGAGAAATTAATTTTTGCACCGTGTTGATTGACCGATGCAGAGTTTTCCTGTTCGTCTTTAAAAGAAGGTAGTCGTACTTGGTGGTGCTGAGGTCCAACCCTTGTTCTGTCAGACACAATGAAAATGTTTAATATATTCACATATCTCTTTGAGCAAGAAAGAAAAAGAAAAGAAAAAGAAAAAATAGTAGTAGCATCAGATATAACACAGGAGGATCATTACATCAAGCTTAACATAGCAAAATACATCATCATCAAATGTAAGTCCAGGCTCTATGAGTCAAGTTAACCTGAAGTGAAAAACAACCATTCTTTATCTGTTAGTGAATGTTTAAAATACAAAACTAAGCAGGAGGTGTGCTATCTTACATCAGAGAAGGAGATTTTGTTGGTGGGGACTGACATCCTCTCATCCATCCCTTGTGTAGAGAACTAACATTTTGTGCTTTTGAATCCTAACAACTGGAGCTTCTGGGAAATAAACAAAACAGACGAATCCAGGCAGATAAATGAAGACAGAATAATATAATAGCCTTGCATTTTTATCCTAATATTGTATCATAATACTTTTGATTTTAAAAGAAACTTTTAGTCGCACAGTCAACCTACAGATCATTCAAGTGAAACCCTGCATCAAACTGTAATCCATGACCTCACTCTAATTTTTTTAGACTTTTTACTAAGACAGAACGATTGGAAACATAATATATAGAATAAACTCAAAAAGATAATCTGGTTTTAAACTTGTAGTCAAATATTAACATTTAAACACTGAGTATAGCAGATGAATGCAGACCATCATCAAGTAAAAGTGTTCCTGCTGAGTCATGTCTCCTCAAATTAGACAAAGAGTACGCGTAACAATGAGCATAGCCTTTGGATGCCAGCCTCTTTCTTGGTATCCAAGGGCCATGAACTTTTGCTTAGCTTGATTGAATAATTCCGGTGTTGTGAATTATTAGTTACCAAGAATGAATACTAGGAAAAAAAAAGCCTGTGTGGGCATGGAAGAATATTCTAACCCAGCTTGTGGTAACAAAAGTCCTCCCTAGCTGTGGAGGACCAGGAGTCCGTTGAAGCAGTGTTTAAGGTTGAGCTGTGCTTGCTCTTTCACCACAGGCTGCCTGTATCAAAAACATAGATAATTCATTTATTATTTTTGTAGTGGGGAGTCCAGAAACTAGTAATAATTATTCATATTTTGCATCATTTTAAAATTACCTTTGAATCAACTGGATGTAAATGTTACTGTACATCTTAAATCTCAAGCAGGACTACCGCATCAAAAAAGAGCTATAAAGAGAGGCACCAGGCACTATGGCATTAATTGCTTCTACTATTTGACATCTTTGTGTATACAGCCGATCATGTGGAAGGGGTTTTCCAGTGAAGCAGAAAGGCTGCAGACCTGCAGACACCGGGCTGACTGAATGATGTAGCGTGGGTCGTCTGTCTTTCCACAATCTTGACACGATCAAACCCAAAGGCACTGAAGAGGTGTGCTGGAGGGAAACAAAACAACAGCCACCGTTATGATTTGTGTGCTGATAACACCCATGTCCTGGAAAACTTCATGAAAAGGTCAATACTCTTTTCACTTCTGCACATCTACTTTAAGTTGACATTCAAGGTCAGACTATGCACACAGCTGACAATAGACCTGAGAAAATGGGTTCCCTGGAGCAGATGAGGATTTACAGGGAAGACACTAAATTCAGTTATTAATCATGACCTGCAGTTATGGCACTGGGTGCAAATGTATGAGAAACCTGTGGGTAATACATTTATTGCATGTAGTTGAAAAGCTGTAGTCAGTGTTAGGTTATTTTACCTTTATATTATTTTATTGTTAATTTATTGCTAATTTTATTGTCAATTAATTACGACTTTTATGTGACCTAAATCAGGTATAAGGTTGAAAAGTTCAGTTGTGAGAATTTTGAGAATTTCAATTTTTTCATGGAAATTTCTATCAGAGTAAAATATTTGTCCTACTAGAACAGTTTATATCAAGCAGTTCAGATTATCATCCCTGCCACGTCGTTATCAGAATATAAAGCTATCATTGCGATGTCTCATGACGTAAGAGATGCTGCACCCACTTCATTACCCGTTTCACTGATTGAGCAGCCCTGCTCCAAGTTCCCTGAAAGGTGTTGTTGTACTCGGAGACAAAGCTGCGATCACACACGTCCCCTTTATTTGTGGAGACTCTGTCTTCTACAGAGAAATTAATGATTTTGTTAAACATTACATTCTCCTGGATTCATAGATGAGTGCTCACAATCACAAGAGGTCCCATACGTGTTATTTGTTACAAGGTGATGACATTGAAAGGACGGCATTTTGAAAAGGTTTACCTTCTTCTTGAGAGTAAACACCCAGATCTGATTAATATTCATGTCAGTCAAATGTCACTTTAGCAAGGAGTCCATTATCTAATGTGGATTTTTCAATTTTACCAGAAAATCCAAAACAATTAATCTGATTATATTTTAATTGCGTATATTTTACTAAGCTAGATGTTTACCTGTAGCTTTAACAAAAGGAGAGCCAGAGTGTGGAATGAAGCTCACTCGGATGGTGCTTTCCAGAAGCTTTTCCACATGCTGGATCCACATGGTGGCGAATGTTGGTCGGATGGGTCTCTGAGGGAGTTGTAAGGAATGAGCCTGGAAATTCTGGGCATGCGTGGTGAGGAATTCAGCCATCCGAGAGTCTGTTTCCATCTTGAAATTAGTTTTATGGGATCAGGAGAATCTGTGGCAATGAGTGATGCTGGTAGGACACCGCTGTCTCTGTGAAGTACTCAGTACCCCAAGTCCTTGGCATGCCCCTGGGCTGGGACAGGGTGATGAAATGGCTCTACCTTCTTTAAATTAAAATGCTGGAAGTCCTCTTGGAAACAGGTTGAGTATGCATCTGGAACGTTTCTGTACAAAAATGGGATGTTGGTCGATGGGACCAGCTCTTTCCCCATTCGACGGGCTGAAATCAGTGTTTTCTCCAACAAGACAGTCATACTTAATACCACAACTGTCCTACTTGAGTTACTGTAAATTGCTTGTTTAGCATAAATATGATTCTGAAGCAGGTAAAGAAAATGCTGCAATGCTTCACCAGAGAAACGTCTGTGCTGTGGAACATGGTAATGTTGATACTGCTGCTTGCTGCTCCTGCAGAGAGAAAAATAAATACTGTGGTGTCCTGTTACCTGTCGAAGACAGTGAGTGGAGTGGACACAAAATTATTCAGCAGGAAGATGTATTTCCATAATAAGGATATGTAAAATGTCTGTGTTATTTTAGGTATGAGAATTTTCCAAAACAGAAAAATGCCTTGCTAAGGACACAGTAGACTCCTCTTTGCCTTTTCAAGGTGGCGTTAATTCTATAAAGTCTTGTCTATTGGTACCATAATACATAATCATAGATAATAAAAATGCATTTGGCACTTAACTCATTTTAAAAATATGGGCATAAGCTTAATGGTCTATGTTTTGAAATGATTAAAATATAAAACAAAATAATCCGTCTTTGTCACAAAATAAGCTAAAAAGTTTATTTTTCACAGCTGTAGATTACCTAAAATGTCCTTTTGCAGTACAGCATGATCATTTCAACATTACAGTGGAACATAGGCTTTAGGGAGCATTTTAAATAACGAGAGCTCAATTAAAATACAGAATATATTTAAAAAGCTTTGATAAGACACAAAATTCAAGTTAGATATGGAAATGCATACATTTGAAAAAGCAGCCTCTTTTTGTTTCATTCATACGGGTTGTCGGTGATCGCAGTCACTTCCAGTTCTTCAACAGCAGGTGTCCGTCAAAGTTCATTTTTGACCACTCTGAATCTTCACAGGCTCATATAATTCACAATGAGAGTCGGCACTCTGTCAATTGTTATATTCGCTTATTTTATGCCGGTATTATTTAATTAACTGATTTGTATGAAGTGTCAGAGCGAATTACACTGCTCGCTCCAGTTGTCTGTTTATAAGCCTCCGTGGTGTACAGATCTGATTATTACAGCTAAATGAAAGGGGAAATATCTAAGATGTTTTCATAATGAAAAAATAAAGTTTTAAAAATGTAAACACTTTGACTTCAAATCACATTTTATTCTCAAAGAGACAGCAAATTAGGAAGTGACGTATTTCAGCGTCAGCCTCTTCCGCTCTCTTTTCGTTGAGGCTCAGCTAGCGGCCGGGTGGGTAGAACGTTTTGTTCAGCAATATTTAACGTTTTTAAGATTATAATAAATGTTTGAAGTTGAGTAAAACAATATCGCTTTCATCCTTTAATGACAGCATGTATGTTTGATGTAGTCTTACATTAGTTTCAACGAATAAAATTGACATAATTGTGATTAAATTCCGCGCTGACGATAAGCATGTGGCAAGGCCTGCAACGAGCCTCTTCTGCTAGCGCTTGCTAATGTAATGCTAACTTACCAAAAGCGCCGACAGTCGGCAAAACGATGAAAAGAGTTTATTTATTAGGATAAAAGTTGCGAAATCTTTTATGATCTAGCTTTTTTATTCATCTCGCAGGCGATTCGGTTTTTACTGTGATCAGTCAGCGAGCTAAGTAGCTACACGGCTAAAAGTAAAGCTAACGTCATTTTTCTGTGAACAGCCTGCAAACATGCAGATCTTCGTGAAGACGTTGACGGGGAAGACCATCACCCTTGAGGTGGAGCCCAGTGACACTATTGAAAATGTCAAGGCAAAGATCCAGGACAAGGAAGGTGAGCTAACACGTCTAAAGTGACGTTTGGGACTTCTTGAAAAATATTTGGCTGCTCAAGATGTAATTGGTCTACACCTTAAAAAGGGACAATTCGAGTGTGCCAGACTCTACATTTTAATACATGAAACTGCGAATTGGTAGATATTTAGTGTCCAGAACTCTAGTGGCTGTGGTTTTGAATTAGAAACGTGGGTTCTTTGCCTTTAAGACTGTTATGGTTTAGGGTACAAGTTGAAATAGGTTTGCACTCAAAATCACACATTAGACCACAAAGGTGACATAGATGGACTTGTTTGGAGCAACCTGTGAAGTGATTTAGATTCTGTTGTAGTTAATGTTCATGTTAAAGTGCAGATTGGTTGACTAGTGTTGTGTTTACAGGAATTCCCCCTGATCAGCAGCGTCTGATCTTTGCTGGCAAACAGCTGGAGGATGGCCGCACACTGTCCGACTACAACATCCAGAAAGGTAACGGCTGTGTTGTTTCTGAAATTGGCAGTAGCACACAGTAGACAAGCTGCCTATTATATAAGCGTTATGAGAAAGTACTCATTAAATTTGTTTTATATCACAAATGCGCTTTGCTGCAGTTGCCAGTAGTTTGTATATAACACCATTTTGGATATGTAGCTATGGTATGGTGTCATTATTTCTGTGTTAAATGATTTTTGATTGACTTTTCAATAACCAAGGTGTGCATCAGTTTTCCTGGTAGAGTAGGCTTTCTGTTTAAATATAAATTTGACATTAACATGATGTATTTACTGTTCACCAGAGTCTACTCTCCATCTGGTTCTGCGTCTGCGTGGTGGCATCATTGAGCCCTCACTCAGGCAACTGGCCCAGAAATACAACTGCGACAAGATGATCTGCCGCAAGTAAGTCCAGTCCTAAGTATGACAATTTGATTATCCTCAGGCCTGCTCTTATTTCTGTTGATATACATTTTAAATGTATAATTCAGTGTTGGTAGAGGACCTTATAAACTACATTTGGAGGTCTTTGTATATATTTGAATTGAGAAATAATCAGGTAGATAGAATTACTTTGGTTTGGTTGCACAGTGCTTTAGTGTCACCTGAAATGGCAGTTGGGAACAGCTGACCTTAGTTTTTGGCTGAAGTGGGTTTTCTCAGGATCTTTTTCATCTCTAAACCCTGAATGTTTTTAAATTGGTACGCTGACCTTTTTGTTTTGCAGGTGCTATGCCCGTCTGCACCCCCGTGCTGTCAACTGCCGTAAGAAGAAGTGCGGACACACCAACAACCTTCGTCCCAAGAAGAAGCTGAAGTAAACATTTACAACTAAATTGGCACTTTGTGCTATTTTGTGTTAAAATAAATGTAGAAAAAAAAACTGCTGCTTGTCTGATTTGTGTTATTTAATGAACATGTAAAGGTGTGTGTTTGTTAAATTCACTTGAAAAGTGACCATAAGGCTGTGCTGGCTAAATTAACAGCCAGGAAAAAGTAACCAGATTAACTGCAGTAAGGTGAAGCTGGTGTAATTGACTATTGGGATTTAACAAGAGCTTCCAATTAAGTCCTGGGATACTCATGAAACCTGCTTCTTGGATCTGGTTTAGGATTAAACTTAAGATCTGTTCCAAAACCAGATGATGATAATTGTGTAGTTTACAACAAAAGGTGTCAATTGACATCAATGTTGGGCAACAAAATACGCAGCTGGTGTAGCGATTTAGAAGTTAGTGTGCAGGTTTTATCTGGCTGATGATTAAATACAAGCTTTCTCACTGATTACTGTTCTAACCCAAGCAACATGAAGGGAATACTGAACTTGAACTATTTCATAAATAAAAAAAGTGGTTTTTGGGGGGTTTTCATCACACAAGAACCACAGCAGTGACTTTGCATGACAGTTTTAATGTTTAAAACATTTATATACAAATCCCATACAAGCACCTGCTCTCCTCAGATTCAGTTTTCGTACCTTGTACTTCACAACACTTCAATGAGACTAACCTGAACTAAACTATTCTGAGGTATTTAGTCATACTGAAAGGTTAAATGTGTCAGAAAGCAATGAATGATGGGTAAAAGCTGACATGAGATGAAGATCAGTGTCACTCATAAATTGGGTGTTTGTCGATTCCAGTTGTGGCTTCTGTTGGACATCTTTGGTACTGCGATCTCTCAGAGCGGGCAACAGACGGTTTTTTAAAAAGTCCTTATTCCACCGTATTTTCTGAGGGATCCACACTCAAGTTCAAAAATATATCCTTCAAACATCTGGTGATCTGCATTTCACAAAATGTATCGTGAGACTTTACAATAAGGGGTATCAAAGTGTATTATTAACTCTTCAGGACAGGCATATTTGAACAGAACCATAAAGTGCAGTAGTAAAACGTGGTTTATCATTGCAGCCACAGATGATGATGATAATAAAACACCAAATCTCTAAAAGGAGACAGAAGTGCAATTTAACTCAACAGGTCCTGAAATATGAGTTGGATTACTCCTTTCATGTTATGTAGCTACACAATAATACTGCACATTAGTCTGTTTTAAGACCACTGATTATATTTTGTATCATAATCACATGTTGTGAAATGCTTAATTATCCTTATTCTAAAAGGAAAAAGTATTTAATCTTGCAGCACACAAGAACTACGCCTGTGTTAACACATTATTGTGCAGCGCTCAAACAGGAATAAGGCCGTTTGAAGTGTTTCTGATGTCATTCATGTGGAGCTTATTGAGAGGAGCTGCTAGCCTGTTTTCTTCATGCTTACTAAAGGCTGGTAGCAAATTCGCATAATCTGGTGGAGCGATGACAAAAAATGCGTGTATCAACTATTAACAGGCAATTAAGCTAAATTTTTTTTATTGCTAATTTGTTAATTGTTGCATGTAGCAGCTGATGTTAGAAACCCCCAGACCTTTTGTAACTTGTCAAAGTGATGAAATATCAATCTTTATACCAAGTGTTAATGTGATAATAGCAATATAATGCAGAAATGTGTCATTATTAACATATTTAGTACATTCAGAATTAGAACTGCTGCAGCAATTCTTTTGATTATCTGCACTAAAACTTAAGAGAATCCTAAATCAGTATATCATACACACTGGCAGCTGAACATGCTATAACACTAACAAGGAAAGTAAGAGGGGGTAATAACGGGATGCTATTACATTATATTGTAGTTTATTACATTAACACATTTCACAATTTGACATGTTACGATTCTGGCAGTCACTGCATCACCAGCTGCAAAGACCTGCACCTTATTTGTACCTAGACTATTACTGTCATACGAAGAAATCAATGACTCATTACAGGGCAAGAAGCAAAGATCGATAGATATTGTGCATCAGAAATTCTCATACAGCACTGACAGACAAGTCAATTAAGTACCAATTTACTAAAACTTATGCAGTTGTGCTTTTAACTGGACCGGTCCGAGGTTACACGCACACATCCTCGCATGTTTCACCATTTATGTGAGGACACTCGTGCTTAGCAAAGCCTTAAGGGACATTTCACCTCAAAATAAGATACATCAATAGTTTTATTTATCCATCTAAATCTATTTGACCTCAGCTGTAGACATATCTACTTTCCCATCTTACTATAATACACAGATTTTATTATCATATGCAAAATTTGTTTCCTCCAGCTCCTCCTACACCACCAGTACTTGAGCACCTAAAGTTGGCACACAGGTACATCCTAGGAAGGTTCTTATCCATATCACATGACAGCCACCTAGTAATGGGTTAAAACAACCTGTTTTTGTTTGTTTGTTTGTTTGTTTTTAGCATTTAACACCTTATAAAAGCATCAAATCTTATTATTTCATAACAATAGCATCTGATTTATATCCAAAAAGTTTCAGTTGTTTATGATATAGTATAGATTGCCTGGCAATCAACTAGCGACAGGCTTTTAAACTGACCTGATTTTAGACTTTACACACCTGTAACACAGCAAACAATCCTACAGCACAGGCATGTGCTAGTTAATATAACGGAACTAAAAGGCAGTTTTACCTTGTGAGCAGATTGATGTAAGATTTATATTCTTTCTACTTAACCAAGCCTATCAGCTGTATCAATGGATCTACCTGTAATGAGAAGTTTCTACTCATAACAGTGTGACAGCATGTAAACGTTAACAGCAGCCTCCTCAGCTCTGTTGTAAACTTGACTAGCTGCAATCTTCGTTTGATTGGTGAGTGCAGTTGGGCAGAAAGAAACTAACTCCTACACAAACCTGCTCACACCAAAGTACCAGGGTCAAACGTTCTGCTATTTCTTTGATTTCAAATGCATTGTTTGTGTTTGTGGTCATTATGTTCAAGAGAATGCATAGATGCTTCTAATCGTTACCCTCACCAGAGCAAAAACATGTACATTTTGGGGGTAACTGTCCCTTTAAAGTACCCTTTAAAGTTGTTAGGGTCGTTCCAAATGTCCTCACATCAATGGTTTTGAACCAGTATTAGTAAACACACACACACAGCTTCACATTTCTTGGCAGGTATGGGGCTTCTGCAGAGCTCATGCAGGGCTCTTGTAGTGATCTACTCTGCAGCTCCACCGAGCCTCTCTCTAGGGTTATTACTATTATGGTAACTGATAGTGTTAAGCAACAAGGAAAAAGTACATTAAGCAGAATTGTTATATAACTTTGTGAACACGGACAAATGTAAACAAAATAAAACTTGGCACACACGTTGTGAAGTGCAATCTCAGTGTCCGGGTGGGAAAACGGCACGTGTACAGACCAGAGCTGCTGATATTACTCTCCATAACAAACTCAGTTCCTGCAGCTTGAATTTTGCAACATTTGTGGCCGTTTTCTCCATCCTAACTGCGAGTAACTCATCGATGAACATAAATAATAGAGTAAGTGGTGAGAAAGAGCAGTCCTTATAAAACATGAACAAAAACAGTTGTACGCTGGCGATGGAGGAGACAGAATGGGAGCAGGTTGTTGCATCTCTGAGTTTGTAGATGTTCGGGCTGGTGTCAGACCAGTCTAGGCTGATGATGGTGAACTGGAGCAGAGTTTATTCAGGGCCTTTGCTTCCAGAAGCTCTTACACAGCTCACACTTTTACCGGGTGCATCTCCACAGTATCAGCAGAGGATCGTCACTTTTTAAAAGCAGACATGACAAATACGTACATTTAAGAACTGAAAAAAGCGAAAACGCTTCTGCCAAAACTGCACTGAAATAAGCATTTATGGAAAGCCACTTTGTTTCTATGACCCAAATATGGAGATTTATGAAAAGTTGCTTATGTTTAATGTAGCTATAAAATATAAAAGCAGATTATATTTGATTTCACAGCTCTCCCAAGGTTGATGAAACCCTTGCTCTTACAGCGCTGCAGTTTCATGGTTCGAGGGTTTCAGACTTCCTACTTTGCAGGAAAACAGAACAGTACAAACCCTGTCAGGTAAAAATCTTCCTTCAATATCGGCCTTTGCAAAATTCTACGGTAATCAACTCAGGGTGTTATGTACCATTAGGATGAAATGCTTCACCTCTCTTCTTTACTACTGAAAATCACAAGGTCAGACTTTGACAAAAGCCACTTTCGGACATGCACTTCTTTCCATTTACCGCACAGCATTTGAATGCATCGGTTTACATCCAAATGAACACTGCAGTAACTTTTCTATGTTGCGACTGCAATCCTACTAGGGTGGACCGAGTAACATTTACAGATCACTTTAGCATAGCAGAGGGAAAAAGAGGACAGGGCTCGCCAAGACGCGAGGTAATCTGAGGAATGCAATGTGGAGGGCGATGCAGGAGGCTCAGTACAAGATCTCTTTTTACTCAGTGATGTTTCAGCATTGGCAGAGTGTGTTTAAGTCACTAAAACTCTCCAATGCTCCATGTATTGCAAAGATTGCATCACTTTGTGGGTGCGTCTGAGGGAAGCTATAATGTAAATCTGACTCATGTCTGAATGAGGAGATAAAAAAGTCTGAAAAGTGCTCATTTTTATGGCACCAGCAACAGAAGGACTTTTATATGAATGGTGTGAATGGCAAACAGCACAGGTGGTTTGCTCTGCACATAGCACCTTTAAGAGGTTTCCAATGCTGGACTGATGGTGAAAAACAAAGAAAGTTCAACTATAGTGTGTTTGCCTCCATGTTGCTCTGATCCCGTCTCTGCTGTTAGATCAGTTAAACTGGAGGGAACGAGACTGTGGAGATGCACCCCAGCTCCTGCTGTGGCTACTTGCTGACCAGTTTTGCCAGACTCTCTCTCAGGTTGTTCAGGTCACCGATTTTGATGTCCAGAACGTCAATGATCCGTCGTACCTCGACCTCCGCGTGCGCCTGCTCCTCCCGGTTGCAGGCCAGGGTTTTTTCTGAGCTTTGAACGCGATCCTCCAGCTCCACATTTCGTCTCTCCAGATCCTGCAGAAGCACGGTTATTAATTCAGGTTTTCATTTTTCTCTTTTCATTTAACCCAGTAATTGCTACCAAAAGTGCATCTTTGCCCACATTCTTATCCACAAAATGCCATAAATGTTAGTTTCTCCAGAATATGTTGACAAGATCGACAAGTTATGTTTTGGGAAAAACCAGATCACAATTAACCGAGTAGAAAAAGTACAGGCCTTTATATTGTGTTTCTGTACATTTAAACTTCAGAAAATATGCTGTAAAACAGATGTATTCCAGGGAGATACTGCGGCTGCCGACTGCTATAAAATTTGCTAAAAAACTCCTCTCGGAGCAATTCAGTTTAAACTGTTTATAATCCAAATTCAAATCTGCAGTATCCTGTTTTATGGGGTAATTCTGTATGCGAAAAAGCAGAGATGAGTACTTTATGGAATAAATCCAAGGACAGCAAAGGTCAAATATGAATACAGATAATTCACAACTGACACCCCCGGTAAGAATGATAGAGGACCTAATAAAAGCTATGCAATATGCATCAAGTCTCATCTCAAGCATTAAGAAGGAAATTCAATCCAATTTGTTTTCTCCTTGAAGCCCTCAGTTCACCTTTGTAGATTCTTTGCCACACTTACTCTTGTCTGAACTGTACGGTCTCTTTTATAGCTGTCCCTCATTATTCATATGCCCTGGTTTGGGTAACAGCAAAAAGGACATTTATATGTAACAGATCATGAAAACTGCCAACTAAAAAAAAAATCCTTTTTAGGACTAGAGTGCTTTAGGTCAGTGTCATGCACTAACCTCTAAAGGTTATGCATAAGTATTTTAACAGTTTGTTAAAGAAAAAAAATCCCTTTTATGTCTGGTTGTTGTGGAAAATCACAACCGGTCAGCTAGCGGCGCCAATAATTTTCCATTTTGAAGACTTTGACACACATCAGTCAGCCTGGTGAGCATTTTCATTGCTTATCAGGTTGACGGATGTCACACTTGCAATCTAATATAGGGATCCATTATATTAACTATACACTAATCTGCTGATGACTTTCTAGAACGAGCGGTTACTTATTAGCCAACATGCCATCAGAAAACTGACAAATATAAAAGCATATTCTACCAACCTAAAAAGTGACATCATCAAATGTAATCTTTTGTACAGCAAAGAGTAAACAAGTCCTAAAATCTTCATTTTACTACAGCGTGAGGAGGAAAATCAGCAACTTCAGAACTGATAGTCGTTGAGCAATAAAAATGTGTGACATTTTCCACAAATGTGTTATTTGTGCAGCACGACAAAGTTGTCCAATTTGATGAGTCAGTCACAAAACTGCAGCTTACCTTGAGTCTCTGCATGGCCTCCTCCCTCTCCCTTTCTAGCTCGCCAACATCTGTTTTCTTGCTCTGTAGATTGTGAATTTCCTGAAAACACAGTAACTCCAAATAATTACAACACCATCTTTCCGATTCATGTACCTCAATGTCCCGAGGACAAGCAGCGTTCCTCATTAATTTTATAAAGGGGGTCAGTGATAAGATTTAGGACGCCTTCATCTTCCTGGGAAGGAGGGAGGGAAACATGCCACTGTGACCTTGCATGAATCCGGCTGCCAAAAGTGGACTGTGTTTAAACGACGGGACAGATGTGGTTATGTTAATGAAGCTGGCAGAGAGCAGCGGGCTGCTTTCAAAGGAGCATTTTGCTTTTATTTATCCTGAGGAAACGTTTCTTGGCTCAGCGTGTCCTGCGTGCATTAGCGGACATTGACTTTACCCACAGAAACATGCACCGTTTGACAAGATGATGTGTGTTTTAGAAAAGTTACAGATGCCGTCAGAAATCTGTCATTCAGTACGGAGGAGGCGGTTCGGAACATCTACATCTCGAGTCTCGGCGTTGCTCGGTCGTGTTCTGTAAGACTGTGACATTTTATCAAAGCACTCTTCTGCGTGATCAAAGCGACAGACACGACAGAGCCTCAAAGCTGAATCCAGATCTTAGCAGACAACAAATGAAAAAAGCCAGTGAACACATTCTTCTGTCGTTGTCTGCACGAACTCTGCAGCATTTTATCAAGTAGTTACCTTTTACACAAGTACAAGAAAATATTTCATTTAACGCGTTCAAGATGATTTAGAGAACAGATATTCAAAATGACACTTACTCTTTCAGAGTTTTTATGGCGTAATTGAATATCAGAAGAAGATTCAGGCTCACACATCCAAAAGACTGCTGGCAGTACATAATGTATGCTCTTGTAAATTAAGCTAGTGGTATACACCGAGCTTCCCTTTAAGGTGGCAAATAGATTTGGACAGTGTGCATTGCTGAGAGGAAATTTGGTGTCTTGCCTGGTCTTTGGCTCGCAGCAGGGCTTCCAACTCCTCCAGTGACCGGCTCAGCTCCTCTTTACCAGGCTGTCCAGCAGAAGGACGCCCCAGCTGGGCTTCAAGCTCGGCCACCTGGAACACACACAAACACACAATGAATAACATTAAAAACAACATTATAAGATAAGAAAAGCAAGACTACCATCTAAATCCACCTTCTAAAGGCTTCCATCCAAGATGAGTTTTGAGAGATATCACAAATCTTAAAAAGACGAGGGCCTTTTAAATGTTGGAAGAGAAATCCAGAAATAGGAAGCGGCGACTGTCACTCCATGTTTAGCTTCACTAATCGAAAGAGAAGCATGGACGGGAACATGGGATCACAGATTCAGGCTTTTAATGTAACTCAGGCAGAACTAGTGCGATGCGAAATATTATACTTAATATACTGTAAACAGTAATCGAGCATGTATCAAACTGTGCAAAAAGAAGTCTCATTTGTAACCAGCATAGTTTTGAATCTGACTGATGAAAATCGACAGCAAACCAGAAGTATGGAAGCCAGGCAATTTCAATCTCATTTCCTGAGACGGTCTGATTTAGTTTTAGCTAAATCTAATTTAGTCTTGAAGCTAATCAGTCCAGTTTTCATGTTATTATGTTTTCACATAATCTTTCTCGTACACAGATATGACAAACAAGAATCAGCCTTACAAAAAGACCTAAGAATCCAAAGTATAATCCTAACGTGTGATATAATTTTCACAATGCACAGAATTAATTCATGCTATTAATGGAAACCAACATGACCACGGTCTATGCACAAACACTTTACTGTCCATCTAACATGTGCAGACGAACAGCAAGTGAAGTGATTTTCACAGCTAATAAAAGTCCATTTAGTGAAGAATTATCATGCACCACACTGCTGTGCAATTTACAAATGAATCAAGGACATTTTCTTTATTCATTGCCTCTCTCCTGACTCTGCTCCCCACCACACACACACACACACACACACACACACACACATACATACACACACACACACACACACACACACACACTGAAATGAACTATATGAATATACTAGTAGCCAATGGGCACAGCACTGAAGCCTCTCGCCTTGGAGACTTTTTTTTTAGCTGTTCGAAGGGGTTTGACCTTTTGAAAGATATTTTCCCAATCTGACCCACTTCCATGTGTTTAGCATATTAATGAAAAAGTCAAAGACCGTCAAGATTTGACAGACGGTTTGACGAAACAAGGACAAACTGTGCAGCATTTGAAGTCTGAACACGATGAGATTCGGCCGTCTTTTAGGCCTTTGTAGTTTAACAGACAGACCGAGGCACAAACAGTGACAGGGCTAGAGGTCACGATAACATATTTAATTTTGCTCCCCATTTGATTAAAGGAATAGCATTTGATAACGAGACACTTGAGCAATAACGAAAGGTTACCGTTTTACTCGAGATCACTTGACCATTTTAATCACTTTGAACAGGCTTTTGCATTGTATTAAATTAAACGAGTGCGTGCCAATGGAGACTAAAACATGTGACTAGACTGCAGCTTCTATTTGATAATTACTTAAAATGAAATGCATCACACAAAATTCTTCCAGTGAAACAATCAGCTCAGTAATTTTATTTAACATTTTGCGCAACCATGCAAGAAAATCTCTGGTTCCAGTTGTTTAAATGTGATTATTTACTCTTTACTGTTCTATGACAATAAATGTATCTGGGGTTTGACTGTTGATGGGAAATAAGAAGTGGGAAGTTGTCCCCCACGTAGTTGAGATTTTTGATAAATTACAGCTTCAGTGTGAAAGTTCCTAAATAATACCAGTTTGTGCCTTAGAGTCCCATTTACGATGCATAATAGAGCAGAGCTCAAACAAATCTGAGAAAAAGAAATAGCCGTGGGATTCAAGCAAGCTCTTGATCTTCTACTTTCGGTTTATTTTAATGCCGGTGCTGCAGAAATGGACGACTTTTCATTTTCTCTCCTTTAAGCGTGTCCTCTGCATTTTAACAGGTAATTTCAAAGTGGCATTTTAAAGATGCCAAGGTACGCTACTCCAGCCAAGCCGAGCTTCACAAAAACCAATGCAGGCTGGGGATGGGGGATGGGGGCTTTGGTTTAACCTGGTCTGTGAGTGACAGCCACCGTCCCCAGAGGCAGTAGCTCCATCTCTCTGAACTCCACACAAATAGTGTAGCATGAGAAAAAGCCTGTAAGAACTGTGGTATCTGTAATATTCCCACTAAAGTTGAACTGTTTTAAACAAACCGAGACGCATCTGCTTACAACAGCAATAGAGCGCTGACATAAACTTGTCAGTGTAGTTAATTTGATTAATTGTTAAATATTTATATGGTATGTGCCAATGAAACTCAAACTAGATTGGCAGAAGAACAAAATACACTAAAATGGAAAAATATACTATAAAAAAGAACCATTCAAATATCCTTAAAAGCATACAAATTGCTGTCAGCCTCTCTGTGGTGGACAAACACAAACATGGCTGAAGCTGCTCAGAGTGGGACGAGGGAGGAGAAAGCCAGCCATCCTCTCTCCTTCTACTCCTGCAGTGATTTATCTTCTTCCACTAACTGGGGCACAGAGGGGGGAGGAGGTGGGCAGTATAGGGTGTCCTACCCTCACCCCCCTCCAGGAAAAAAAAGGAAAAAAAACAAACAAAACCCTGCCACCCTGTTACCAAACCCTGGAGGCCTGCTCTACTTCCAGCCACCTGGTTGACTTTGCTACAGTGTGTGTGTGTGTGTGTGTGTGTGTGTGTGTGTGTGTGTGTGTGTGTGTGTGTGTGTGTGTGTGTGTGTGTTTTTTGGGGGGAGGTGTGTAACTTTCACCTGCACTCAGAAATAGATGAATTGAAGATGATAAAAAAAACGCAATCTGAAAAGAGACAGTACTGTAAAGGTAATAGAGCAGACTGGGTTGCAGCAGCAGCATTTAATTCTGTTGCAATAAAGTTGTGTCGTTAAGCTCGACCAAGGGCAGAATTTCCTCTCCCTAAATTAAATATGAAATGTCTGCATTCTGGCCCTGCGACTATCACGGGAGCCCGTCAACAGAAAATATCCCAGGGAGGGGGGGCTGGATGAAAAATGCATCTGCAGTTTGGAGCAGGCCTTGTAGGGATTTTAATGTGATACTGACACATTTGTATAAATGAGTAAAACAAAGTTTTATAGAAGAAACTCGATAGATGCATTTGTGCTAGTTTAGGTTAACATCATACCCATAAATATAATTTCTAAACAGTTATCAACAACAACAACAATGCACAATGGGCTGCATATTCAGTTTACAAGTCCCCCATAGTGCTTACTGTAAATCACACAGTGTAGCATACAGCGCAGGAGCATAAAACAGGACACTTACTGTGTTTAAGTTTTTTGGACATTGGCTTTTCAGTCCAGCCTAAAAAAACAAGTCCGCTGTGGTCTTATTGGAAGTTGAAGAAGCTGTTCTTAAGGAAGGAAAATTGGGAGAAATGCTAAGATGTGCCAAAATACACACGAAATGAACTGAAAAAAATCAGTGGCAACAGGAGTGACGAATCCAAATGTGAGAGCTTTGGTTCAAATCATCATTAATATGTACAGAAGAGGTCAGGGGAGAGCTACAAAGAGACCAAACACACTGCTAGTGTAGTTATAAAGCTTCCCCAGAGCCGGGATCTCAACAGTATTGACGCTGTGTTGAATATGCGTGGGATCATGTTGACAGGAAACAGAGCAAGAGGCAGCCAACATCCAAAGAAGAGCTTTGAATGTCCTTCGAGAAGCCTGGAGAATTAGTCCTGAAGACTACAGAAATGATAAGACTTCCTTAAGAAGTGCAAACTCATTAACGTTGTGATTTACTCATTTACTATATTTCCATGTATGTTTGGACATATTTCCATGAACTGCTGCATTTACTTCCCATTTTCCTAGAGAAATATAAACAAACGAGGAGTGGCTTAAGACTTTGATATGGCACTGTACTTTCTTTTAGATCAATAAGTCTCATTGGTCGTCTCATTACCGTCTTTCATAAAGTGACTTCAAATAAAATTCTGTATTAACAAGTCAATCAGGCCCCTATCGTTTTTCCTAAGACTGTGAAAGCATCTTCAGTGTCATCTTCAAAGTATAATGTGAATTTCTTCAAACACTGACTGAAAAAGACTCAACTTAAGCCTAGTGTAATTACTCCTCTGTGCACTACATAAGGTCACCTGGTCTCGGAGGCGATCGGTCTCTTCCTGGTATTCAGCCAGCTGCTTCTTCCACTGTTCCACGCTGCTGTTAGCTTCCTGCAGTGCTGCCACCAGCTTGGCATTGCTGTCTTGAAGAGTGAAGAGTTCAGCTTCCAAGTTGATCTCACACATAGACCTGAGGACAAGTTCGCCACACACAGACTTCGTTAATTCTCCTGAAGAACTGGTACTCTGATTCTCTTTGTTCACCTGAACCAAATCAATCGAATGAACCAATCACAACTGTTAAATGATGCTACTTTAAACAGATAATGTTTGACACTGTTGGAACGAAACCTTGGAAAGGAGAAAGCAGAAGATACAGAGGTGATAGAGTGAAACATTTCTATTATCCTGCAGTAGCTGTGTGACGAAGTTTATTGACATTTAATGAATTGAAGGAGACAGACGAGTTCTGCAAATTATGAACGTTATTATGACTTTATATCTTTTTTGGACAAGTGCTACTACAGTGAGCTTTTTTTTATTATGCCTTTAAAAAGCTTCAGCAAATATTTTTTAGGAATTAAAGTGGACCAAGAAATGCAAAAATAATTATTATGGCATGATAATTTTTCTTGGGTTTTTTTAGAATCATTTTGTTCCAAATCTGCAACAGAGCAGAGCAACACTCACCTTCATCAGTGGGAAATTGTACCACAGGGTACTAAAAAAACCCAAAACAACAGCGGTAATTTGTTCTGCTTTATTAAGTTGTGGGAAAGATTCAGTGTGCCGGTAAAGGTCATAATTCAGTGGGGATATTTAATAAAGCAGAGAGCTTCCTCTTTAGGAAGCAGAGTCTCCACCATAACGACTAAAACTGGCAACCATAATACCCCTCACCATAGCAACGGGAGAGAAGGGCCTGCATTGGCCTAAAACAATCATAAAATAAAACTGTTGGAATAATGGGCTGTAAAGCAGCTGAGAAGTGCTTCACTGGTCCCAGATGGAAGGTTGAGGGATCAATAATGACCGCTGTGATGATGATGATGATTACGAGCTGCAAAATTTAGCACCTTTCAGGCCTGGGTGGTTTTAAGTCATGGACACACATACAGATTAAAAAGAGCACAAACGTTATGGTTAGGCCTCAGGTGATGGTGTTTAATCTGCCTGCTACAGAAGAGGCACAGATATGCACACATACCACACTGCAGACCAGGGGAGAGTCCACCTGTAAAGAGCTCAGACCGACTCACTGCTGCTTTTCTAGGTAATTAGCTACAATGTTTGAGCTTATGTGTAAGGAGGGTTCATTTTCAGTCCTTGGCCATTCGCTCTTTTCAAAAAATAAATACATAAATAAAAACTGTATTTATTGATTTTTAGTTCCTAGAATAAATCAAAACGAAATATTCCAGATGTGTGGTACCCACACGCAGAACTATATATATATATCTCATCACTTGCTACTGTGCTAGCACTCAGTCTCATGTTTCATTTTAAAATTATGTGTTCTTATTGTAAACACTTTGAGGCATCTGTGATTTTGGATTACATAAATAAAAAATAAATAAAAATCACATATTTGCTTGACCTGCTTGACCCATTTAACTTCTGATTGGCTAAACACACCTGATTCCAGCCACTCAGGAGTAAAGCGAGGAAAGCTGGCCATAGCGGTGCTCGTTTCCCATGATGCAGCTCGATGCCACAGTGCAGAAATCACCTGAACGTTAAGTGAAATATGAACTAAAAAGGCACAATTCATTCCGGTTTCCACTGCATGTTCACTAATGATGTTAATCTGAAAAGAGAGCATACAGATGCAGAGTGAGCGCCACTTCTGCCTCCAGGATGACTAACGGTTTTCCTCATCTGTGGAATACATCCACGATACCATCACTACGCGCCAAAGAAGTCATGCGTTCAGTTTCTTTGAATGCGAAAAGAAGAGAAGTGTGACGCCTTAACAATGGCGTGCACTCTATAAAGGCTTTGCAATTTAATGGCTCGTAAGTCCGCCTCAGACAGGATACAGGGGACTTTTTACTCAGTGCTTTGAATTCTTACATATGCTCGTGCAGCCAAGCTGGGGGTTAGACACTGCATTATACGAGTGGGTACGTGAAACAAAAGATGGAGGATCCAAGTAATGAGCTTAATCAAAAGATAATCCAGTACTTCAATACGATCAAAATCTGGCAACATGCGTATGAATACATTTAGGAGGAGAAACCTGATGTCACTGGTGAATAACAGGGAGTTTTCTTATAGTTAAAGCAATACTTTATCCATTCTTAGTACAGTATGTAAAAGGAGGGAGTGACAGATTTGTTTAAAATACTTTTGGATTTCCAGTGAAGAAAACAGTTGTACTGTGACTAAGCGATACAGAAAAGTTTTCTTGAGGTAGCAAGCTAAAGAGAATGCTTTCTAAAAGTTTCAATACTCCCACATGCACATCTGACAGTGATAGCCCATGGCTGTTTGACACCTATAAAATAATCTAGAACAGTTTATTGCTTTATTTTTATATAAAAACATAGCAATACGATATATTTTTGCTATGTCAGAAAAGACTGAAACATTTTCATTTTATGGCTTTCTTTCTGTCTGTATATGCATCTGTTGAGGGAGTTTTAAGCATTTCAGAAACACAATCTGTCATTACCCTTCAGACAACATCTTCTTGACCCTTTCTTTCTCTGCTGTCAGCTCCACTTCAGCACTCTTGCTGCGAAACAGCTTTTCCTCCCCGGGCCCGTTGACTGTCAGCAGCGGCGGTGAATGGCGGTCCTCCGACAGCTCCTGAAACAGACAGCGCACGGACCAACGGGGATAACAATACAAACAGGATCTGAACACTGAAGAGATGACATGATGTCAAACCATCAGTTTCGTGTAGTACAAGAAAAAAGGCTAGATAAACCAGGACCTTTCATGGAAGCGTTATTGGAAAAAGGGGATTCTTCCTTGTTTGCGATTACGCCGTAAATCCTCAGGAGCTGCGCTGCAGTTTTCATATCAGACAACAAGAGTGCTCAAGCAGAAAGTGCACGATTAAGTGGCAAGAGCACTTCAACAGGGTACATTTCCAGTATTCTGCATTGTTATATTGAGTGTGTGGTAGAAATGACAGTGAATGCTTTGATAGACCAGCATGGCCAAATGCAGGACAATAATTCTACATTTCTGTTGCTCTTTCTTCAAAGCACAGGCTTAAACTGGTGGCCCCTCCGTTAACATCCCTATACTCAAACCTGTCATCGGGACACAACAGACCAAACACAGTAGCAACAACACAGGACAGAGCTCAACATACCGGTGCTTGATATGTCCCATCTGGGCTTCTGTAAACAGGCTCTACACAAAGCGAGCAGCCATGTGTGGAGCCCAGCTGCTTTTATACAGCATCACAGATCTGATTGGACTCTGATTCAACAAGAAGTGACTAAGATACAGCTGCTCCTTCCAAGGGCTCATCTTTCCGTGTGTGTACAGAAAAAGTATGTGCATCGTGTCACCGTGTGTGCATTGGTTGAGAAATGACACATACCGCACATCTGGTAAGAGGCGAACTGGTAGCACAGGTTACATACTGGAGGGATTCAACGTTCATTTTGGAAGCTGGTTTAGGGAAAATTAACTGTTAATTTCAGACTAGCTTGTGTCATAATAAAAGTAAATAACAGACATAAAAATCAACTTCAAACACCAACAGCTGTTCAACAGCTGTCTTCCACATCACATGATCCTCCTCAGCAGATGTCATGGAATATTTCATGTTCAGACTTTTGTTCTGTCAAATATATCAGATTTATCACCTTAAATATGAAAGCCAAGCCTAATTTTTAGTCACTGCCTTTTTTGAATAAATATTCACTCGATGAACCAAAAATAATCATCCACACAATCTCTTTGTCTTTGAATCAAGTGTTTTCAGCCCCATTGCCAAAGGCGTATAAAATCAAGCAAAAAACAAACATTTATGAAAGAACAGGTCATTTTAAAGAGTTTCCTAAATGCTAGAAGTTCCTCAATCAACCTTAAGTGTTATTATTGAAGAATGGACTGTAAACCCAGTAACTGACCTCCAAACCTCCTTTGATGTTAGCAAGGGACTAAATTTAAGATGGAATTATTAATAGGAGGCTACAGAAATATACCAAGACATCAATGTAAACTATTAGTTTTTTTCTGAAAACTAAATAACAGATGAATTATTGAAATAACAAGAGCCTTCATAAAATTAACCCACCGCTTCTTTACACATTATCTGAGCACAAATATTTGAGATATTTGTTAAGCTGAACACCATACCCATATTTTAGCCCAAGTATTTAGCTTAATCAAACTGAGCAACATAAAAAGAGACCTAAAATCTGACATTATACTTGGCTCGTCTAACCAATCTGCTTTGATATTTACATTCCCTGCTGCCCAGAAAACGGTTCATGCATCCTGTCACACATTTTTGGGAACCACTCTGGTTAATCTGTGGCTGTGGGCTAAAAGGCAGCTCCACTTGCTTTTTAAAAGCATGCAGATGAATTAGCTCAGGCACATTTCTATACCACCCGTCGCCCTCTTTCTTTCTTCTTCTTCATGGAAACCCAAACCTGAATTCGTCAACGGCCCAGTCTCTCACTGGAGTATCGCAACCCTGCACTTACTGTAGAAAGAGCTTGTATTATTAATTTGAGTGCGCCTGACTCTGTTCCCCTGAGGACAACGGTTTATTATCTACAGCTCAGCAGCTCCGAGTTTATGCTTATGGATGGATATGGAAATAAAACACACAGCTGACTCAATGTGGATGAGCTCTGTGTCCAAAGGAAGGAATGAGAGAGGAGGAAAATCAAAGCTAAAACAACTCCAGTCCGGACCCCCAAAGCCAACGAATCGACTATGTGTATTGCTGAATAATTCATAGCACAGATCATGTTTAAGTCATAAATGGGATTGCACATTTACAGCAGGTTCCCCCTTTTTTAAAATTTGGTGTGTTGTTTGCTAACAGACTGAGTGGAAACAAAACAGAGACGCTAAGAACACGGACTAATTAGCCAGAGTTCAAACAACTTCCAGTTTTTAAAGGATGTATTTGTGCATTTGTTTTCAGGAGATGTTGGGGAGAAAAAAGAAATCAATGAAATGTTTCCCCTGATGATGGGGGAGGCGTGATGAATTCAGTTTTCTGTAATACTTAAATTAAAAGAAAAAATACAGAGTCGATTATACTCTTTGTTGTTGTTGTTGTTGTTGTAGCCATACTTAAAGATCGTTTTCCCTTTCGTGGCAAACGCTCGGTTTATTCTGAAACTTTAATTTGCTCTCAAGTCGACTTTGATCAGACTCCAGATAAATTATTGAGCGCGAGTGTCCGTGCAACACCAAGTCTACGAGCAGCAGTTCCATCGACAAAACAGTCATCTTTGCTGTGTTTGTTGTAGGTTGGTGCTCGTGTTTTCACGCACCTGTGAAAGCTGAGATGGATGAGCGTGCGTCCCACGATGCATCAGCAAAAGAGAAAGAAGAGGAGAGAGAAAAAATGTTATTATATGATAAAAAAAACCCTCTTAAAGTGAAGGCAAAGGCAGTTATCAGCAGCATGGCGAGGGATCTTTTTTTTTTGCTTGTGGATTTCCTCTGTGTGTCACAATGAAACAATTTCTTCGACATTTACAAGTGACTTTGGTCTCCTTTTAACAAAAACAGCCTTCACAGTAGTAGGAAACTGGTGCTACGCAGCAAGAGAACTTGTAAGTGCAGCTCGCAGATGCGGAGGGAAAGTTGAAGGTTACAGGCAAGCGGCCGAGGGACGAGACAAGAATTAATCTGCACATCATAGTAAATGATGCTTTCAAGGGCTTTCAAATCTGGCTTAAGCACAGTTATTTTAACTAAGCATATACTGTTTTCCAGACATTGCATGCCACTTGTTTGTGTGGCGTTACACAAGGTTATTGGCAGAAGCACTGACTCCAGCTGAAGGACGAACACACGGACAAACTGTACCAACAGATTAAGAGGCGCTCAGAAGTCCCGCCCACACACTGACGGACAGTCCATGGAAATAACAGCAAGGCGAGCTTAGCAACAAAGAAACATTAAGAGTAAATATAAAAGAAGAATAAACGCAGCACATATTTTTCCACTGTCATCATAAAAGAGAACATTCAGTTTGTGATGCCCAGCTCAGCAGGCACTCATACAATATAATGCACGTGCGTGTTGTGTTGTTTTTTTAAACACATAAACAGCAACTTATAAACTTTTCAGGGTCCTGAGAGAATCCCGGCTTGATAATCGGTGGAATCCCAGAAACTGTAAATATTAAATTGCTTTCCTGAGAGCTTTCCTCATGACGGCTCCGCACCACTGTGTGTCTTAAGTACATCTACACTGTTTACTTATTTATCCCAGCCTCAGTCCATTTGCTTCCTTAGCTCTATAATGCCTCTCTTTCTCTCTCAGTTATACTCCCCACTTGACTTATTCATGTCTCTATGCATCTGAAGGTACCTGCACGGGTTTCCCTTGAAGCACCTGTCCTTACCCATTGAACGACACACAGTCACGCATTCACTTTTCAGCTGCTTTTAATGTCAAGACCGGGGTTTAAAATATTGATAGCTGGCATTTCTGACTCGACATGGGCGAAGGAGACGAAGAGGAAAAGAAACAAATGTTTGCTGGCCATCAGAGGATGGTAACAGCTTCTGTAGCCTGCTGTGATCACGCTGAGAGAAACACGAATACATATGGACTGTTTCTGACATACATTTACTGTGCAGTCGTGTTTCAACTCATTTCAAACTGGATATTATTGTAATAATAAAAGAAAATCCTTCTAGAAGCTAATTAATGCCAATAAAATACAGGAGTTTATCTGGGTTGGGGTTTTATTCTCACTGAGTATTAAAACCCTTAAATACAATGAAATATTCTTCCTAATTATTTCTCAGTTCCTTAAAACTATTATCCCAGTTACAGCTCTGTGTTTATCATTGTTCATTTATTTTATCTCGCCGGCTTCGCCGTCTCCTCTTCCATCTCATCTTTAAGCTCTGCAAATACGCCAGAAAGCTGGAGCTCCGCTGCATGCAGATCCCCTGCTGCTATCCACACACACACGTAGAATATGTGCTCGGTAGAGCCTGAGGCTGCAAAGATACAGCTCTGCAATACCGCGGGGCTTTTACTGACCAACTGTAGGTGATACAAGACCTATTGATGCACTGGCAGGAAAACAAAACAAGACAAAATAACGCAGCTTCTCTGCAGAACTGCACGCGGGGAAGTTAGGAAGACGTTTGTCGGTTTATTGTGCCTTTGCTCAAGTATTTTTGTGTTTTTAATTTAAGAGCAATAAGTTTCTCAACAAACGCTTGCATAACGCTTTAAACTCCGCTCTGCACAACCGAGCGAGTTGCTGTCAGGCAGAATGTGCCCATGTGTTTGTAGAGAACTTTAAACAGTACTCACACATTGGCAACTGTTTACAAAAGCTTAACAGCCTTAATGGAGCTCTTGACTGGCATTACTGCCACACTGGAGCTGCCATCAATACTTGGCAGCGGCTCAAACCTGCCTCGTCCTCGTGTGCTCGCAGCCTATAACAACGTTGATTGGGTATTATTTCCACATTATACCGCCGCAGACAGTCAGCAGTATGGTGTTTTACAATGCGCTGCGGTGAGCCAGAAGAGAGACGACGTGATAATAGCCACAGCGCCTCTGCGTTTACGGCCTGCCACAAAATCAATGACTGCTGTCTTATTGAGAAATCAGTCCAGCTTGTTCGCCTGCCTCTGACCTTGCAGTTCTAACCGGGTGACATTTCTCTGTGTGTGTCTGTGGTTGGCTTATTGAGACATATTCATGTGCTGAGAGAAGTCTTTTTCTTTTTCAAAATCAACCAGCCAACAAAACAGGTCTCTTGTTGCCATGGCGACTGCAAGTAACACATCTGCTCGTTATTATGTTACTAACCCTGACCTCTGACCTCCCAGTGATGCAGGCCTTTCACATTACACCAACTGACTGAGAGCTTAAAATCATATCTCTATGCCCAGTGTCCTTACTGCAAATGAAAATGTGTTTTATTTACTTCTTTTCTGGATTTTTCGAATTTGGGAACACTTTGGGAACGCATTTAAAAATTAATCAGCAAATCATATGTATAAAGATATGTTCATGGTTTTAAAGATCAAACTTTAAGCTTTCAAAATAGCTAATAGGGACACCGTAGCAACAGTAATTGTAATTTTTTTGTGTTTTCTGTGATACGTTAAGTTAGTTTGAAATAGCCATGCTTTAGCTGGATTGAGAGAAACTGTGGTGGCGTTCACAGATGCAGACAACACTTGGGAACAAGGTCCAAATTTTGCAAAGCATCATATGTGTCTGAACTTATCAATTCCTCTGCTAACGCCTGCATGTGCTGACAGTGCACACAGACTGCAAAGCAACAACGTCAAACATGTGTTAGAACTAGTGTTGCCATAAAAAAGGAGATGACAACAGAAGTAGTTATAAGCTCTGTAATATGATGAGTTCAAATGGCGAAAGTCCAGCAACATGCCGAAACATCTTTCTACATAACATAGGATTCACTCCCAGGACTGTTGTATTTCAGCTCTGTTTGTGCACCACAAGTGTTACTGCTACTGTTTCCCAGCTGAACAGATCATCTGTACAGATGCTGAACACGGGTTTATTAGACTTAAATTAATGACAAAAAATATATTACCTCAATTTTTAGACGTTGACTGAGAGACTGATGACACATGTAGCACTAGGAAGTATTCTGTTTGGGATTTTAGATAATATAGCAAGTGTGCTGACACTGGAGTTGTTCATCGAGATGTCCCTTAATGAAGGAAATGTGGAAATTACTTTAATCAAAGTCAAATTTATTTTAATTGCACTCACCTACTGAATATTCCCTCTGATAAATACCCATAGTCTCATCAATTACAAACAGACTATGGGTATTTGCTGCGATTTATTTTGCAGCAAATCAGGACTAAGCATAAATATACTATGAACATATTTGTGCAATGTATTTCCTCAGATGGGAATGTACACTCACTGGCCACTTTATTAGGTATGGCTCAACTGCTTATTAGCCTAACTATCTAATCAGCCAATTACATGTTGCAAATGAAATGCATTAAGGCAGGTAGACATGGTCAAGACAACCTGTTGAAGTTCAAACAGAGAATCAGAGGATGAATGATTTTGGTGACTTTGAAGATTGCGTGGCTGTTGGTGCTACACAGCCTGGTCTGAATATTTCAGAAACTGTTGATCTACTGGGAATTTTCCCACTCAGCCATCTGTGGGGTTTACAGAGGATGGTCTGAAAAGGGAAAACAACCAGTGAGAAGCAGATCTCTGGGTGAAAATGCCTTTCTGTTGCTGTCAGAGGTCAGAGGAGAATGGTCCAAATTTGGCCTAAAAAGCACCGTGAATCCATCCCGTCTTGTATCAATGTTTCAGGAGGCTGGTGGTGGGAATATTTTCCTGGCACACTTTGGACTCCTAGGTTCCAACTCAGCATCGTTTAAATGCCACAGTCTTGACCAAAATCTCTGAGGAATGTTTCCAGTGCCTTGCCGAATCTATCCAAGAAAGAATGAAGGCAAAAATGGTAAATGGCCTGTATTTGTATAGCGCTTTACTCAGTCCCTATGGACCCCAAAGCACTTTACACTACATTCAGTCATCCACCCATTCACACACACATTCACGGGGCTCGAACCGGCAACCTTCCGATTACAAGACAAACTGCCAACCCTTGAGCCACGATTGCCCAACACAACACTAGCGAGGTGTACCTAATAAAGTGGACGGGGAAGTGGCGTAAGACTGTGGCACTCCAAACATTTCTATCAAAAACTGTGACTATAACCTCCTAAAGAGCAGATTGGGTCTGCAGCAGAACTTAGCACCGTAATCTTGGCAGATTTGTGACAGTGGAGATTTTAACCTCAGCAAACATCACAAACCCGTTCACCTGGTTTCAGAACAGACCCTTCACATCAGCTTGTGTGGAGGTCTATTAGGTACCAGCACACAAATTTAACAAAGGTTTACCATTAACTGTCACATACTTTGATAAAATCCAACTCTTTCCAGGAATTAATGCTCTGCTTTGATGTATCCAGGACTGTTTTCTCTCAGCCTCGACACACTATCAGCTCTTATCTGAGAGTCTCAGTGGTGAGGTTGTGGTTGGCAGCGTGACTCTGCAATCTCCCGTAGCTGCCGAGTGGCTCTTTGTTAAGACTTACGCTCAGTGCACACCCACAAAAGAATAAACAAGCACTTTACTCCGTTTTGAATCTGCATTGCTACAACATCCAAAGCCGCTCTCAACTCTAACACTTGGCAGAAATAAGCAATGTACAAAGGTTGGCAGAGCAGCTCTGAGACTTCCAAATGTTTGCAAGAGATACTGTTTCCTCCATTTGAAAAAGAAAACAGCAACTAATAAATCACAACTTCTATAAATACCACTCTGTGCCTTAGGCTTTAGCACACAATGTCACAATGCAGCAGCTTTTGTGAGATGACGGACATAAAATTTCCACCACTGACAAACTTTCACTTCTCCACCTGAACCCCTGACTTATCGAGTTCACCAAGAAACTGCCTACTGTGGCAGGACAAAAGCTGCCCATTGTCCTGTCAGCAGCAGCCAGATTCTCTTCAATTATAGATGATTGAGCTCCCACCTCCATCCACCCTTCTTTATCCTCCGTACTTCGGATCTGTCATTCTTCTTCCTTTCTTTGAGTCCCAGCCATTACTGCCCCTCTGAACACCTTCAGCGCTCGCATTTCTTTTTGCCTCCATTTTTCATGCATGAAATCTTTTAATGGAGTTAGCCGGCGAGAGAATAATGGAGCAGCCAGATGGGGATCATATAATCCCTCGTGATTCTGTATATGTTTAAAATAGAAACAAAGGCACAGAGTTTGTCGGGATATTAGCGCTCTGCTGTCATATTGGGGCAAAGGCCACGGAGACCATCAAGTCTGTTTAAAAGACACACAGTAAGTCTACTACTTGAACCTGCTGTCCATGGTTTAATGTTCTCTCAGAGATTCTTATAGATGTGTGTTTAATGGTTTAAAATTGCTACCAACAGCTCTTAAATATGATGAAGAAAACAAATTATATCACATTTTCCTCATTTTATTGTAATGATTTATTAGTTGAAGTAAAACCACGCACACTATTGTTACATTGTGAGATCTCTACCACTCAACAATCCTCCCGGCAGCCAAAAACAGCGCTCATCTGGGACGCCAAAAGCATCTAAAAGCTGCCTTTAAGCAGCTCAGCAGACAGATGTTTGCTCAAAAACCTGCCTCGGCTCCTCAGGATAACACACAGGCAGTTGTTTTTCCCTTCCCTTCACAAAAAAAAACGTTCCTGTGCCCAACATGTTTGGAAAGTGAACTTCCACACCAGCAAGTAGAAAACCTTTTAAGCAGTGATTTGTGTTTTGTTTGGCAAGACTGCGTGCATCCCTCCCTCGTCGTATAGCTGAACGCTGATATGTCTTTGATGGTAATTCTCAGATCTGTTATGATTTTTAGCTGCTTTCACTTTGATTCTTGTGAGCTACGGAGTTTCGATTTTCTCCCTCTAGGATGCTCCAATCAACCAGAGTAAGAGGACAACCTGTCTTTTTTAGAGATTTAAGCAAGTGCAGCATCGCTTTACCTGTGGAGCTGCAATGTTGAGTGCAGGGTTGGCCAGCTCAAACCTCTCCTGGGATTTCTCTCTGGCTAGACGGGCTGCCTCCTTCACCTCCTTAAACTGCTCAGCAAACTGCAGATTGAGGAAGAGAAAAGACAGAAATTACACTCGGTTTGAAAACGTCACAAAGTTTCCTCCTGGAGAATATCTAGAGTGTCCGATCAATTTATGTTCTGGCACTAAAGTCTGTCTGATCTCGCAATAAATTATCTAAAGTGCTAAATCTAGTAAATTAAACTCCCTTTAATTCATTTCAGGTAAAAAGAGAAATCTTGAAGATGAATGAACGTCACCAAAGGAAACACTGCGATAAAATGAAAATGCACACGTGTGCTGTGGATGCATTTTAAATATAATCTGAAAGATGTTCAAAACCAAAGAGAAAACGCTGCCCTTGATCATCACAGGAGTGACCTCTACTGCTTCACAGTCCTCTTTCTTAAATCTCCTCTTTGTTTGCGACATCTAATAAATTAGCGATGCTCTGAAGTGTGTGTGTGTTGTGCTCACCTGCTGCAGCTGCTGCTCTGTGGAGAAGCCTAGACCGTAAACGGTGTTGGCCCGGCTGTCTGCCCACTGGCCAAACTTTTGGGAGGTTTTGGTGAAAGTCATGTTGGGGGTGACGGTGCTGTTGATGATGGCCTGGCGCCACAGAGAGTAAAAACAATAAATCACATGAATAAAGCGCAGAAAGACCCCTGAAGGAAAAGTGGGCTATTTTTTGTGATAAATGAAGCAATGCTGCCAGAAATGTAGGACATAAATAAGAAAGAGGCACAAAAAAAAAAGTTAAATATGTTGTATTTGATATGTAGACTGGAGCACATGGAGACTACATCTATAAAGCATACAGAGGACTTACAGATAAACATAAATCTGAGATATGAAGTATTTGGGTTTTTCTAATAAACCAATCAAGGTCAGGGTGGATGATCTTCACCATCATAATTAACTAGTGAGATGTTTGGCACTCGTCAAGTTATTTCAAAAGTCTGTTTTCCAAGATCCCTTTCGGGGATAAATGATGATATACAAATCAAACAGAAGAAGGACATTAATAATTACTGCCAACAAAAAAAGATTTTTCATTTTGTACAAACTGAGCGAAAAGAGAGCATCTATTCACTGTAGCTCATCACAGCAAACTGGGCAGTGTGTGAGCAACAATCACAGCATCACCAAACGAATCATGTGACTATAATCCCTGACATTAAAAATAAATTTGTGTCACATACAGTTGCAATCAGAGACAAAAACAACCTATAACCAGGCCACGGAAAGCGAGCTACGTGAAAAAGCTCGTTCTGTTGTGCAACGATCTCTTCTGTAATATTCTCGAGTGAGCAGTCTGATGAGGTGAATTTGTTGCCAAATGATTTCTTTATTCTCTTCTCCAAAAGCCTCCAGTCTCAGGGTGGCAAATTGGCACAACTGGCTGAAAAACAACAAAGTGCAGCGTTTTCTCTGAATTTCTTTCACTAACAAGATATCCTGTTAGGGACTCCCAGGTGCTTCAGCGCTGCTGTGGAGGCTGCGTTACCAATGTGGGTGCGTTAGAGATTTTCTGCTGACGATGGGTGTGTTTGAGTAATGCAATCCCACCCAAAACAGCCACAAAGCAAACAGATCTTCTTCCAGTGCTTCAAAGAATCTCATTTGCTAAATAAAATGCAGGAGAGGAGAATATAATACTCCACAAACAGTGTCTCTACATCAGTGCTATACTAGTACCAGATGAGGAAAATGCAATTAAGATAAAAGTAAAGTAAAATTATATTTATACAGCACCTTTGAAGAGAAGTATCACAAAGTGCTTCACAACAAAAGTGGTGAGTTTTAGCTGCTTTTTATAAGAGCCGGGGTCTGAGGGCCACTGTTGCAAAATGTGTAGGAAAACATACAGTATGTGAGGGGAGGTGTGATAGAGACAACCCTAAAAATGCTAATTCACACAGTCCCACACGTCAGGCTTCCTGTATTTAATAGAAATGTTTTCAATAAATGCAGAAACAAATGTTCATAAAATTAATGGATGCTAAAAGAATTGAGAAAGTTTGTTTAGAAGGTGGTTTGCTTTCATCGTAAAAACCTGAGGACGATTCATTGTCTAATGTGCCTCAGCTCCAGAGTTTGTGGTAACACGTGAATGACTCAAAAGTGACCCGATGAGGAATTATAAAAGCAAGCAGCAATTTCAGAGGATTAAAAATAAAATATGGCAAAAAACTGCAGTTCCTCTAATGGCCAAAAATACATCAACTGCATAGATTCCTGTAAAATATCCAAATTACACTGGCATGTATGTAAAAATAGTCTATATAAGGACTTTCTCCTTTCTAACTACTGGCGGTCCTCTTTCACCAGTTGTGCCTTATTAAACTATTAGCTGCCAAGCTAGGCTTTACCTCTGTGTTTGTGGTATTGTTGCCTTTTGAAGTTTTTTTAATGCATAAAATACAGCACATTTAAAAAGTCTGTGCTGAAATTTTATTTTTTAGTCTTATTAGATTTAGCAAAGCAGGTACCGGAGCATCCGTAGAGTCTATGGATGCAGCTAAAGGCTAGCAGCTGAAAAGTCCGCAAAGCACTGCATGATATGACAGCAGCTACCTCCATTGTTTACATACAGTCTATAATAAAACCCATTCATGCATCTGTGTTTGACACCACTCGGCCCGTACAGGATTCTTACAGCCCCCGTGCAGCTTTGCCTTATGCAGTAGAGCTGTGGTCAAATCTGTCCTGGCATTCCTAAAACTATTCCAGATCTGTGTTTCAGTGATGTGAACAGGCACAGATCTGAATACCTGTGTACTCTCTGACTGGATTTAAGAGTCTTGGGCTCCTACCTTAGTTCCACCCACACTGATGATCCGGTACACATTCCGGGTGGCATCATAAAAGAAGGACACAGTGACGGCATGTTTGCTGGCCGGCAGCCAGTTGCGTTTGGTGGCCGGGTCGATCTGGAAGACATGAGCTCTGGCACTGAAGATGGGCTGCTCTCTTTAAAGGAAAAGACAGGAAAAAATTAACTTGTGACTGTTTGGTGTCACGTTCATTAAAAAGCACAGTGGCACGTACACTTACGATTAAAGGGACTCCGTAAACAACTTGAGCATGTTCAAACGACATTTCTACATATCACATTAAAACATTTTTTTTTTTTTTACAAAAATGACAAGTTTAATAAGGTCATGATTATATTTGATGTCTGAATTCTGAAGAAAACAATCTATAAAGCTGTCAACACATCTGTTCATAACTGGAGAATTCAAGAATTATTTATTGTCCAAATCTGCCTGCAATCTCTAAGCTTCTTCATGTTTGAAGTGTTATCTGTAAGCCACATGCTTTGTTGCTTAAGGCCAGCAGGAGTTTATATTTCCCAACATGTTGACAGAAATAAATTTGCAGTTATCTACATTTTCTTAAAATATATTTATACAGTAAGAGAAATGGCATGAGAGGAAGAAGAATACAAAATGTTATTTATTTTATGAGCAATACAGCATTTAGCATATGGACCATCAAATTAAATGAAAAATGTTTCGGCACTTATGCATATTTGCTCGAGTGCGCCTAATCTGTTTATGTATAGTGCAATCAATCATTTTGTAACAACACGTCACTTCTACCGGGAGGTAAATGTATCACCTTCAGCCTGAACTCTTTACTTGTCACTCAGCTCTATCACAGACAGAGAGGGGAGCCTGAGGTCAGCCGTTACATGCCTGATTTCTCAGGAGACTTAAATCTGTCTGCATGTGACGCTCTCGGCTGAGCCAGTTTTCACAGAGGAGAAACTCTTTAGGGGCTCTGAATATAAAGAGGAGTGATCTTTGGAGCATCACAGAGCAATGTTGGACCGTCACTTTAAGTGGAACACAGGGTCTGTGTGTCGTAAGATACATATTTATATTTTTCACTCAAACTAGCTGTGGCTGTATTTGCACAGTTTCTGAGATATCCACATGGATATCTGACCTGACAGTTTTGACACTTCAGTCTTCCTGTCACTAATTTCATTCGCAGTTAAACTTGCTCTACATTTTATTTATTTATTTTTTTGGTTTGTTTTCTTTTGTTTTTACTTTTTAGGATAATAACACAGGAAGAAAACAATATAAACAAAGCACAGAAACCTTGTGAAATACTCACTCGAAGCATTTTATTTACATCATAGGTATCAACAGCAGGAGTCAGCAGTAACACCCATAACCCTCAAAACTCTCTTAAATGAACTGAAGTGAACGGATCAGGATCTCACTCAAGTAATATCAAATGTTTCTATCAAATTACCAGGATGCAACCTTATAGAATATAATTCTACCTTTTTCACTCAATTTTAATGAGCAGCTGGCTTGAAATTCTAACAGAGGCGGTGCTTTTGAGTCTTCCTGAAACTTGGGTGAAGCTAATTTTGGTTGGAGCAGGTTCTTTTTAGCTGGCAGTCGCTGTATAGATTAATGTTGGATGGAATAATTACAGACAAAATAAGGCAATTCTGTTAATAAGTGTTTGTTTTTTGCTTTTTCTGGAAAAACAACTGTAGTCTCAGTTCTTTTCTGATCTTTTTGAGCCATAGAGAAAATTGCAAATTGTACAACAGTTTTTAGCTCACTAATCTAAGACTATTCCACCTGTATCCAACAAAAACAGTGACTTAGTATCATTATTCTTTGATGTAAAACTGTCAGGATGCAAATCATCAACTAAAATACTCCAATCTCTAAATGTGCTTGTGTTTCTCACAGACCTTCAGGTCATTCATGCCTTCCTGGTGTAATGAGGCTATTGATGCAAATGAAGCTGAAGATTTGCTATGTGCTAGCGGTCCAATTAGCGCCCCGGCCTCTTTGAAGGCAATGACATAGACTCGCTGTGGGCTGGACAATAAGCGACTACACAGGATCTTTGGAGAATTCACGCAACACTACACAGCTAATAGAGTTTGCACAAAGTCAGTGTAGCCAATGAGCCATTCTCATGGAAAGTCAATTATATAGCAACAATAATGAGGATAATGTGCAACGTGAGTAGGCTTTGGTCCTTCTCCAAGCAGGAGAAACACGCATGTATATAGGTCAGCAATGACTATATGAAGAATTGTTCCTGCAGGATTTGCTTGGCATTACTCAACATTTGCATACAAACAATAGTTCTTAGTGTTTCAGCACAAATGCTGAAGTACAAGAGACAATAGACAATAGCAGCACCAGCAAGCGAGCAGATTTCAGGTCCAGGATGGCTGCAGCAACAGATATAAGGACTATCACTGACTTCTGATAGAAATGATAGTACCCAAAAGTGGATTCAATCAAAAAACAAGTAAGGAAATATCACATTAGTCCATGTACACACTGGATTTACTGGTTTCATTCCTATTCTAATAATATTCTGACAAGTCGCTCATACTTTTTTCACTGAGGATAAAGAAACATTAACATTTTTTATCCATAATTGTTCCATCATAATGTCCCCAAAGACAGAAAAATGTGAGGCACTGATTTTACACAAGCATTCAGAGAGCAGGAACTCCTTTAATAAAAACCTTTAGACCTCAGAGTTCAGTGCGAACTGCTTTGCTCACATTTTTGTGAGGGCCAAAAAAAAAAAAAGAAGTGATTTGACATTGATTATTTTCTTTTTCCAACCATTCTGTTTTTTGTTTGGTGACTTGCTTGTTGTATAACCCAAATTTGGCAAAGCTTTAATTACTAGACAGATGGCCTCACATTCGTTTCTAGAGAAATGTGAGGCCAATTAAAGAGGCGTTGATGGTTGACTCGGTGACTGCACGGTGCCCAGGTCCTCTGGCTGCAAGTCTAAATCATCACCCCTCCACTACCGTGTTTGGCAGCTGGTTTGGCTTTTCTGGTATCCTGTTTGTGGCACAGATTACTCAAAATCATGAAATAAAAAGCTGTGCAGTAATAGTTTTCCACTCTGCTACTATATTTGTTACTTAGTCAGTCACTTCAGAGCACTGATAACATTAGACATGGCTACACAAAGAGCAACATTCAGTCTCAACCCTTAATACTGCAACATTTAAGCTGCACTAGTAACAGTTAGTCACACTTGTACAGTTTTTTGTTTTATCAGTTTTTAATATCGTTTCTCCCTGGCAGTCCGTCACATTCGATCCGATTTCTGACGTTGAAGCTACAAAAAATAAATAAATAAATAAATAACCAAACAGCATTTTTTGCAGCCATCTCTAAAACATGGTGGACGCTCCATCATAGTTTGAGGTTTTTCAGTCAGTGGCATTGAGGATCTAGTCAAACTGATGGAATGGTGAATTTAGAAAAGTACCTTTAGATTTTGAACCACCGTGAAATTTAATTTGTTATGCACCTAATTCCACACAGCTTTATTTTTCAATGATCCCAAACACACTGCCACTGTAGTAAAAGAAGAAAAACACACAGCGGAACACTATCAGTCAGAGACGGGCCTCCCCAGAGCTCAGACATCTGAAGCAGTGCGGAATCATTTTGACAGAGAAGGTAACAAAAGTCTAAAAGTCAGTCAACATCCAAAGAAGAGCTTCGAAGGTCCTTCAAGAAGCCCGGAGAGCGATTCCTGGAGACTACTTTAAGAAACGACATGAAAGTTTGCCCAACACAGTTCTGACTCTGTTGAAGAATGAAGATGGTCACAAGAAATATTGGCTTTCAAGCTCATTAGAATTAAATTACTTGTTTTAGACAACAATCGCTTTACACTCCATTGTTTTACTTGGTTTTCACTGTCATTCACAATAAGTTGATAAGTTGAGACAAACATTTACAAATGTATTATTATCTGTGTTGTTACCACAGACCATTGCCCATTTCTGTAGGGAGAAATTCAGCGCTGTTCCTTCTTGTACATATCGTGATTTTTAATACAGTATCATTCATTCATGCCCTTTCCCCCTTCTTGCTGGAGTCAGTGCTTGCCCAAACAAATTACAAGCTCATGTAATGCTTTTATTTTGACATTTAACAGGTCATGAAAACAGATAGTAATTCATTTTACACCAAGCATTTTCCTACTGAAAATGGATAGGTGTGAAATCTATTTTCAATCAAGCAAGACTTTTGTTTTGTGTATACTGCACTGCCCTACTTCAGCATGAAAACTGTGAAAACTACGTAGGTTTGACGAGAATTAGCAGAGAAACCGATCAAACGATGAATTGATTCTAGCACACTGAAGTTCCAGCTCTTCTTTCATATGCGATCCACTCCTAATTACAATTCTCCATGTGATACTTGAAGGCAGCAGAAGTTTGGACAAATCTTTAAACTTTAATGCAATGCAGAGAATAATATCACACACGCTTAAACTCCATATCTGATGGTCTTGGAGGTGGAGATTTCAAAATAATTGCTTTCATTCCATTGTTACTTCATCACTGTCAGTTTAAATTTATCTGGGATGTGATTTTCCTCCTAACGGAGGTAATGAACCGTTATCGGAGATGTCTGAGCAGTAATTTGAAACTGAGCACAAATGGCTGCAAAGTGAAAACAGCCACGTAGGTCAGCTGAGGTGTATTAAAGCCGTCTTTTTCGCTGATGGCTTCCCTCTATAGAGCATTGGCACTGTATCTATTACCCGTCACCCAGATGTAGCTATCAGGTGCCTCTGTTTATGGCCTCTGCTGCACACAGTAGCCAAGTAATATTTTTCTGTCGCTGCGAGGAATGATTTCATTGGTGAGAAAAAGCTTGAAGGAGACAGACTGCAGAGATCTGTTTTTCTTCTTTTTGGCTCAGTGAAACATTCGATAAGATCTCTCATTCTGTATGTGCACCCTTATCCTTGAAATTCATATGAATGTTTCTTGGGAATTAATTTATTATGAAGGTGGAGTGTAGCGGCTGGCCTCAGGGCTGAGTGCCCCCTTCTCCATGTGATGTCAGAGCTGGAAGTTCATGTTGTGGATTAAAAGAAACTTTAAATTTCATTCAAGAGCTCAGACACAGCTGCTTTACTCTTCCATCCTCTGA